CTCAGTAGAAATAGGATTTCACCATGTTGGCCAGGATAGTCTCGATCTCTTGACCTTGTGATCCGCCTGCCTTGGCCTCTCAAAGTGCTGGGATTACAGGCATGAGCCACCGCACCTGGCCCAGAAGTTAAACTTTTAAGAGCCAGTTCAGGGATGCCTGGGCCTTTAGAAACAGGATTCAGGCGTCATGATCCACATTATGATATTTTGATGCTTCTATTTTCCTGCTGCCCGAACTGACCTTATTCTCAGGTGCAGTTCCCATTGTGGTGACCGAGGTGGCACCAGGAACCCCAGGCACACAGCCTGGCACCTGTGATTTCTGTGGGAAGCCTGAGTCTTGCCCAATGATTCCAGTAAAACTCCTGGGTAAACCTGGTCGCTGGGTCTTGTGCCTGCACCTGAATCAGGAGCTGCCGAATAGAAGGGGTTTTCTGGTTGGCCAGGCCTGGGTCCCTTGTTCACTTCAGTAGTGGGGCGGGCCTCATGGAGAAGGAACTGCAAGAGGGAGGACCCCATGGCCGGCTGGGTGCAGCCACCCAGATGCATGAGCGTCCTGTTTGTGTGGGGTGAGCATGGAGGTCAGGAGGGCAGTGCGGGAACGCCGTCCCTCTTAGGCTGAGGAATCTGAAACCAGGAGGTGGCAGTGGGGAGCCTTAGCACTTTTTTTTAGCTGGAGTGGAGACATGTTTCAGGGAAGTTTGATTTGGTTGGAATATTAGGTTGGAGCCGGGAGAGACCATTGCTCACTTAGGGGATGTCATGTGTTGACTAAGAATGTTCCCGTTCGTGGTGTCCTGTGTGGATGTCGCTGGTTGACTAAGCATGTTCCTGTTCGTGGTGTCCTGTGTGGATGACATTGGTTAAGAACGTTCCTGTTCGTGGTGTCCTGCCTGGATGTTGGTTGACTAAGCACATTCCTGTTCATGCTGTCCTGTGTGGACGTCGCTGGTTGACTAAGCACGTTCCTGTTTGTGGTGTCTTGTGTGGATGTCATTGGTTAAGAACGTTCCTGTTCATGGTGTCCTGCGTGGACATTGCTGGTTGACTGAGCACGTTCCTGTTCGTAGTGTCTTGTGTTTCTGCAGGTGCCCTAGATGTGCATAAGACAGGTAAGGGGTGGAGGGGATACTGTTTTGCCCCAGGAAGGCCCTGCCCCTGGCCGTCAGCAGTTGAGTTGATGTGTGAGACTCAAGCTGGGTCAGCCTGGTCACAGCTTGCATAGTGCAGCTTTGCCTCTGGGCTGGCCTTGGAGTGGTGGAATCATGCCTTCCCTGCAGCCCAGACCCAGGCAGGAGGATCTGAAGGACCCGCTCTACCCTGGGGCTCTTCTGCATTCGCTCCACACCAGGCTCCTAGGACTAATTAGGCCTCCGGCAGACTTGGTCTCGGTAACCTCAGGAGAGCCTGCACCTCTCTAGGACAAACTGATTGTTCTAAGCTTTTCGGCGGCCATAAGGAAAAGTTATTATTTGTTTGTGTTAGTTTATTGAATGCTTTCCTTTTATGAAAAGATTGAGAATTTGTATTCATGAGGTCAAGAGTTTGAGACCAGCCTGGCCAACATGGTGAAACCCGGTCTCCACTAAGAATATCAAAATTAGCCGGGTGTGGTGGTGCGTGCCTGTAATCCAAGATTACAGGAAAATCCCAAAAATGAAGGTCTTTTGTGACCTCCTACCTGGTAATCAAATATAGAAATCTGTTCTGGACAGAGTCAGTGGCCATGCCAGGAAGCAGGCCTTAGCCAGGGCATCCCTGGAGATGGGACCTCCTTAGACAGTTTCTGTGGCGGGGAATTGGGGTGGGAGAAAGTTGCCCTAGAGCTGATGGTCCTGGCCTGGCCACTGTCCCCAGAGCCTCAGGCTCCCAGGCCCACGCTGTGCTGAGGATGCCCTGGCTCTGGAGTGGGACTGTCTGGGTCCCTACTGACCTGACCCAGCTGTTCCTCTCGCCCTGGTGGGCCTTGTGGTTCCTGGGTAGGGTGGCCTGATAAAATACAGGATGTCCACTTAAGATTCAAATTGCAGATAAACAAACGTGTGGGCCGGGCGTGGTTGCTCACGACTGTAATCCCAGCACTTTGGGAGGTCAAGGCAGGCAGATCACGAGGTCAGGAGCTCAAGACCATCCTGGCCACCACGGTGAAATCCCATCTCTACTAAAAATACAAAAAAATTAGCCAGGCATGGTGGCGCGGGCCTGTAGTCCCAGCTACTCAGGAGGCTGAGGCAGGAGAATTGCTTGAACCAAGGAGGCGGAGGTTGCAGAAACCAACTCTCCCCTCGGGAACACACCCATTGCCTCCACTGTTGCTTGGGTGTCATGCTGTGACCCAGTTAAAACTTTCTCAGCGAGCTCCCTGCTGCTGTCATATCCTCCGGGGGTGACGTCATCCCAGTATGCACAGCCTGAGCACCCACTGTGTGCCGGCTGGGGGGCGGAGACAGGGACGGTGAGCCCTCAGGGCACACCGAGATGGCACGCAGCACTTACAGATGAGGGGCAGGGAGGGTGTCCCTGCATGCAGGGCTATTGCTATGTGGTTTTCTTTGGTGTGCCCAGTGCAAACTTCCTCACAGACAGAGCACAGCAGACTGAGTGCTGAAGCCCTAGGGCTGCCCTGTTCCTGACTGTCAGGTTACCCGATAATGCATTAAGGGGCACCCCACCAGGGACTGTACAGTCCTAGCGGGTTTCTGAATTCAGGAGTCCTGGATTCTGACCCTGAAGGCAGTGGTTTCCAATGCTTTTTCATCTTCACCCCGGGAAGAAGTACCTTTTACATCTTGACCCAGCAAACATGTGATACCCGCTGACTCCGTATTTTGTTCAGTGATGTTTCCTAGTGTTTGTCTTTGGGTCAAGCATTTCACCAACTGTTTAATCTCCACAAGCCCAGGTGGTAGCTACTGTCTTGTCCCCTTTATTCAGACAGAGACTGAGGGATCTACCCACTCCACCTTCCCTGCCCACCGCCTGCACGTCGGACCCACCGATGGGTACCTGCTTGGCTCCAGGAGCCCCACACCAGAAACCTGAGAGACGACTCCCATTTTGGCCTTGGGCAAGGTATTTCACCTGTCAAGTCACGGAGAAGCACAGAAAGTGAGGGCAGGTGCAGTGGCTGGCTGCATTGAGGTGGCACCTACTGTGTGCCAGGCCCCCTTCTGTCCCCTTCACAGGTGTCTCAGTCTCCAAAGTGTCCATTTGGAGGCAGACCTGGAGCCATCCAGGTTAGCTATGAGGCACCGAGGTGGCAGAGCCTGTGGAGAGGGGCTTGCTTGCCTGGGGGTGGCGGCCAGGCCCCCAGGGGTGGTCCTGTCTCTAGGGGACCCAGCTTGGGGCCCGTGTACTGCCACCCACTTCCAGCTCTGCCACGTGCAGGTGAAGGAGCAAGGCGCAGAGGCCTGGCCTCCTGGCCAGCTCTGTCCCTGCTGGGAGGTGCCCTGGCCGCACGTTCGTCCTGAAGGGAGGACCAGGTAGCTGCAGCAGCTGTAGACACAGCTGAGAAAGCTCTGACAGGAAGTCCCCTGAAGTGTGGTCGATGCAGTCAGTAAATGTAGGAGACAACCCAGTCCTGACCCTAATCTGAATTCTTGCTTCCCCAGCCACATTTTAATCCTTGCCCTGCCCAGGGATTTTAAGGGCTGACCCAAGGAGAAGGATGGAAAGGGGAACAGCCTCCACCCTCCACCCCACCCTCTATCCTCCCAGGTTTACCTTCTCCCCTCTCCTGGGTGTCTCCCTCCTGGCTTGGCCCAATCCCATAGTCCCCACTGTCTTCCCCCACAGTGGCAAGCCCCTCCAAGTGACCTCTCCCTTGCCCCCAGCACACAGCAGGTGCTCACTAAAGAACCCTGCCTTTCCTCGACTCCAGTGTGATGCAGCACCCTCTCCATCGTAGCAGAAAGTGCACGTGGGCTGTGAAGGCTACACGGACAGCAGCAGTCGCTCTTCTGCAGACAGGCTGAAGTGTGGGGCAAAGTGCAGCAGGGATGCTGAAGGCGACATTTATGTAGCATTTATTTATGCCGGGCACGCTAATCCCGACAGGAGCTGGAGCTGGAGCCCCAGCCCAGCCCAGCCCCATCGTGAGTGCAGCAGGGGAACTCGAAGCCACAGGGCAGGCTTGCACCGTTTCCTCCCACCCGGCACCACCGTGGCCTCTGCTGTCTCCCAGGAGCCCCTTGCCCGAGGTGCAGGTGTCTGACCATCCAGGAAGCAGGGTTGAGGAGCTCCCAGCTCAAGTCCAGTTGCTGAGACGCACCCTGTTTTGGCGTTGCTGGGCCAGGGGGCTGATCGTAGTGCTGAAGGCTCAGGATGGCGGTGGACCCGGGGGCCCAGCCCGGCCACGCCCCACTAAGTGACCGGGAGTGGCAGAGGTCAAGGCTGGGCTCGGGAGGGGTGGGTCTGACACTCCTGAGGCCTCCCTGCTGGTCCCGGCTGAAAGGACCCCTTGGGCCTCCGTTTCCTGGCTTGGGCGCCCTCAGCCCCCAGGCACCCTCAGCTCAGGGCTCCCGAGGACCTGGTGGGGGCACAGACCCCGGCGCCATTTCATGGGTTCCCACCTCCCCATGCCCCCGTGCTCTTCCATGAAATGGGATCGCCAGTGTGCTGGCAGGAACGGGCGCCTGGACATGGGGTACGCCCGGACACCCAACACCGTCAGCAGGGTGGGTGCCGAGGAACCTGAGCTTCTGACATGCCGGGGATCGAAGCGTGCACCAGGATTTTGAGTATTAGGAGAAAAGAAACACCCCTGTCATGAAGCCACAGGCCCCTTCCTGCTTTCGGAGGCTTTTTTTTTTTTTAATTGATTATTTTTGGGGGGCAGAGTCTTGCTCCATCGCCCAGGCTGGAGTGCAGTGGCGTGATCTCGGCTCACTGCAACCTCCGCCTCCCGAGGTTCCAGGGATTCTCCTGTCTCAGCCTCCCGAGTAGCTGGGACCACAGGCGCGCGCCACCATGCCCGTCTAATATTTGTATTTTTAGCACAGACGGGGTTTCACCATGTTGGCCAGGCTCGTCTCCAACCATTGACCACCCGTGACCGGCCCGTCTCGGCCTCCTGAAGTGCTGGGATGACAGCTGTGAGCCACCATGCCCGGCCCTTTCGGAGGTTTCAAGGTGCGCAGCACGGGTGCCACTTCCTGGGAGGAAAGTAGGGGGGCCCCTACTGCGGAGCCAGAGCGCACCCTCCCAGCGGCCCCGCGGTCCTGCCGTTTGCCGCCTTCCTTCTCCACCGCGGGGACCCTCGAGCCCTGCACCACTGCGTGCGAACCGCACAGCACGGGTCAGGGCCCCGGTCTCCAGCCGCGCACGGTCCCCGCGGACCCCACACGCTCGCCCCACCCACTCCTCCCGGTGCCGCGTGCCGCTCCCCTCCCCTCTCTCTTCCCCTTCCTCCTCCCCACCCTCTCCGTCCCTCCCCTCCCCACCTCTCCTCTCCTCTCCCACTCCCCTCACCCCTACCCCACTTCCCCCCTTCTGCCCAGGGCGGGCTCCGCGGCCACGTGACCTGCAGCCTGGCCAGGACGCGCAGGGAGTGGCGTCGGGGCCGTGGGCCTTCGTGCTGCTCGACGTGCTGTTCTTGCTGGTCGGTAAGAGCCATGAGGCCCCGGGTGTGGGGACCCTCCCGGACGGACACGCCCCGGTTCCGCGCAGGTTCACAGCAACCGGGAGGCTGCGCGCCTTCGTCCCTCCATGGACCCCGGAGGCCGCGCGGTACATACCTGCCAGGCCTCGGGGTTCCCGCGTCTCGGGCCGGGGGGGGGCTGGGGGGTCTCGAAGCGCCCCGGGTGCAGGAGCTGCCTCCCAGCCCGGCAGCAGGAAGTGGCCGTGCAGGGGCCGCGTACACCTCCCTCCCGCCGCTCCAGGCCTGGGCTGTGATTCACGCGGGAGGCGGGCCCGAGGGGTGGTAGCGGCCGTGGATCTCCCCGGACGTCCGCGCCTCCGCCCCCGGGTGGGTGCTCTGGGTGCTCGCGGAGGGGCTGACCTGGCCCTGGCGCCCAGCGCGTCGGTGGGATCCGAATCCCTGTGCCTCGGGCGGGGGAGACACTTGGAGAGAAAAGCTGGGTCCCAGGTTTCGGGGCTTCGGGAGACCCAAACCTGTCCTGCGGGTTTTCGGCCAGATCGGGAAGCGGCACCCCAAGCCTCCCCTTCCCCCCCAGGATCCCGGGAACAAAGGCCTAGTGTTTGCTCTGTGGCTGAAGGGACAATGCCCCCTCCCCCCCGCAGTTCTGTCACCGCCGGGGGCGGGGGCGTGTTCCTCCCCAGCGTGTTTCCTGGTTCTCTGGCCAAGCCCTATGACCTCCGAAGTAGACCCTTGTTAGAGGGGGCCAGGGGACAGCACGAGGTCCCCGTGGGGTGTCTGCCAGCCCTGGGTGCCATGTCCTGTGGGGTGTCTGCCAGCCCTGGGTGCCATGTCCTGTGGGGTGTCTGCCAGCCCTGGGTGCCATGTCCTGAGCAGCTGTGCTGTCAGTTACTTAAACATGTGTGTGGCACTTTCTGGCAGCCAAGCACTCAGCAGCATGCAGATAACCGAAACGGTTCTGTAAACGGCATGTGAGGGAGGGGCAGCCTCACGGAAGTCGCCTGCTGGAGGCCGCACATCCGGGAGGTGCTGCCAGGGTGGGGTTGGGTGTGGCTGCTGTGTGCCAAGGGTGGAGGCCAGGCCGAGGGCACCTCCATTCTGGAAGCTCCAGCCCGTCACAGTGCTGTTCACAGGTTCCAGACTGGGCTGTGGGGGCAGCGTGAGGGCGGGAAGGCCCTCCGGGGTCAAATCAAGAGAAGGTGCCTGTTCCGGGGACCCCAGGGCGAGCTTTCCAGGCAGAGGGAAGCCCGGGGCCGGTTGTCATGGGGGTGTCTGAGTCTCTAGCTGGAGTTACTAGGGCAGGGAGGTCGGAAACAGAGGCCAACTGGTGTGAGCCTCCGCCTGCTGAGACGCAGGGAGCTGCTGGAGTCCTGTGACCCTGACCTTCCACTGCGCGGCAATTGTAGGAACCTCCTCCCTGGTCTCTGCCCTCACTTACAGCGGCGCCAGCCGCCCCTGCACCCCAGCAGAAGCTGGGCTCTTACATGGCAGCTCCCTCTGCCCCAGCGCTCGCCTCTCCAGGCACCGTCCCCCCTCCGGGCCCCTGCACTGCCCGTTCTGTTCTGCATTCCCTCTGCCCTGTGAGGCAGACCTCTGCTGTCTTCACTGCTTTATTTCCCCAGACTCAGCCAGCATCAAAGGCGTGCCGTGTCCTAGGACCCTTGCAGCTGGCATGCAGGGAGGAGTGTGAGGCTCCCTGTCCCTCCTCAGACTCTCAGAATTCAGAAGAGCCACGCTTTTTTGTCCTTGCCCTGCTGGGCCAAAGACGCCCTGCCTTCTTTTCTCTCTGGGGTAGACACCCTGCGCTTTCGCTGTGCACCTGCCGCATGGAACAGGGAGCTGCCCCCGGCCCTGCTCTCTGTAGCTGACTCTGGCTTCCCAGGCCCCTCAGCTCAGCAGGGCCCCGGGAGCCCCAGTGCCATGTGACACCTTCTTCTAAGTGTGGAATTCAGGAGAATGTGCCTTTGATCCCTGAGTCACTGTGTGGCTGGCATGTGCCCTGGCATGAGAGTCAGTGACGGGCAGGGGCGAGCATGAAGGCATCTCCGCTGTGCCCCTGCTTTGGCACTTTCCTGACTTCTCTGGCCAGTTCTTAGGTTGAAATAAGTCCTGCCTGTTTTAACAGATGTTTATTAAACATCTGCCCTAGCCAGGCTCTGAGCAGCCTCCAGGGTCTCCTTCCTGAATACAATAGGCCCCTCCTGGTGCTGGCGGGTGGAGTGGGGGAGATTAAGTCCAGTGTCCCACAGGTGACTGCATAATGCCACATGAAACAAGAGGGAAAAAGAGCAGCTCTTCTCTTTTATTTTTATTTATTTATTTTCTTTTTATAAATTGAGACAGAGTCTCGCCCTGTCGCCAGGCTGGAGTGCAGTGGCGCGATACCGGCTCACTGCAACTTCCATTTTCTGGTTTCAAGCAATTCTCCTGCCTCAGCCTCCCCAGTAGCTGGATTACAGGCATGCGCCACCACGCACGGCTAAACAGACCTTTCCTTTTGTGAGAGGGACGCCGGTGTGGACAGCCGGGAGGGGAGATGAAACTGAGCGGAAGTGAGAGTCACTTTGGTGCCCAGCACGTTGTCTCACACCTGTAATCTTGGACCTTTGGGAGGCTGAGGCTGGGGGGTCGCTCCAGCCCGGGAGTTTGTGACCGGCCTGGTCAACATGAGACCAGTGTCTCTACTTTTAAAAATAGAAATAAGATACTTTGGGCAGAGAGAAGTGCCTGTGCAAAGGCCCTGAGGTGAGCG